TAGTGTTATTGTTAGTGTTACTGACCCCATTGTGCAGAGTTGCAGGTGTTGCCCCCCGCTCACAGGAAACAGATTTCTTGGAGCCGTGGCCGAGCGCCATCGCCTCACTCCACCAGTTTTAATCCTCCAGAAATCATATCCAAGTATTTCCAATTTAGCAGCTTTTATTCATCATCTCTGGTTAGCACAGACATGTAGCTCCAACAGAACGGCTCCCTCTCTGTTTGTATGTCCAAAGGTAGAGAAAAGTCAATCAATATTTCACAAAGATCAGCGCAGATAGTTTGAAAAACCAAAATAGAAATCTCTACTTATGGCTCGATTATATCCCTACATCTCTCCTCTGAAAGCAGCATCACTGAGAAAGATGGAACAGGTGTGCTGATCGTTACCTAGCAACAGTGATGATGCACAGGTAAATCCGAGGGGAATGAAGGCTGTTTACGCTCTCGTTTCCAAGAGTTTATTTCTCTCTCTCATGCAAACAAGAAATCCCCACAGAAATCCTGCACAGAGAGGAAGCCTGAGGCAGAGATGTGTGTGTGTTGAAATATATTTCACCACCAATAATCTGTCGTCTTATATGACGAAGTGCAGGCCCTTAAAATATTCTAAAATATAAATAGGGAAGCGTCTTTAATCTTGTGGATCATCCTATCAGGAGAGGAAAATGTATGTAGGCCTACAGCTGAAAAGATCTTCCAATTATATAGCAATATTTCCTTTCAATGTTTTTTGTTTCATCTCAGCAGGAAACCGATGGACTGTCCACTCCAAGTAAGGAATGAGTCCTTACCCCAAGTGCAGGAGTTCAAGGATCTCGGGTTCTTGTTCTCGAGTGAGGGAACAATGGAGCGTGAGATGGGCCGGAGAATCGGAGCAGCGGGAGCGGTAGCCTACTGCAGTCGCTTTACCGCACCGTTGTGACGAAAAGGGAGCTGAGCCAGAAGGCAAAGCTCTCTGTCTACCGGGCCATTTCGTTCCTACCCTCACCTATGGTCATGAAGGATGGGTCATGACCGAAAGAACGAGATCGCGGATACAAGCGGCCGAGATGGGTTTTCTCCGCAGGGTGGCTGGTGTCTCCCTTAGGGATAATCAATCAATCAATCAATGTTTATTTATATAGCCCAATATCGCATATGTTACATTTGTGATTTACAAGGGAACATGTTTGGAAATGAATGTGTCTATAATAAGAAGATGAATCCACGAGGATGTCAATAAGTTGATAAGGTGAGAAGTTCGGTCATCCGGGAGGGACTCGGAGTTGAGCCGCTCCTCCTTCGCGTCGAAAGGAGCCAGTTGAGGTGGTTCAGGCACCTAGTAAGGATGCCACCTGGGCGCCTCCCTATGGAGGTGTTCCAGGCACGTCCAGCTGGGAAGAGACCAAGGGGTAGACCTAGGACCAGGTGGAGGGATTATATGTCTTCGCTGGCCTGGGAGCGCCTTGGATCCCCCAGTCAGAGCTGGTTGATGTCGCCAGGGAAAGGAACGTTTGGGGCTCTCTGCTGGAACTACCCCGAGACCCGACCACGGATAAGTGGGAGAAGATGGATGGATGTTTTTATTTGTATTTATTATTTGTTAATTCATTCATTTTTTTCCTTTTTTGTTGTTGTTGTATGTATTGATGTTATCTTATTTCTGTATTATTGTACTTTTTTTATTGACTTTTTTATTTCCCTTTTGGATGTATTTATTGAACTTTCTTCTGTATTTTATAATTATTTTTAATTTAATTACTTTTAATATATATTTTAATGATTTATGACTTTAATAATTCTTACGTATTTATTTTATCCTAAATTATTTAATGTTTGTATTATTATGTTACTGTATTATTAATGGTGTCTTATTTCTGTCTCTCCTTTATTGAGTGGGTTATTTGTTGTTTACTTTTTGAATATTTAATTTAATTTATTCTGTTGCCTATTTCAACCTTTTGGAATCATATGTGCATCATGCTTCAGGTCAAAAATAATAACAAAGCAAGCATTTCCTTCTCATTTATTTTATTTAAACACTTTTCGTTCTATTTCATTTCATTATTGATAAAATAATACAAGAAAAACATTTACAGATTAAAATCAAGTTTTGTCCATGAAAATATTCATCTTTACCGTCAGTGCAAAACAGCTGCCATACATGGGTTCATATATATTATACTGGATATGTTTTACAATAGTACCACAAATGACACCTAATTATAAAATGTGAGAATAAAGAAATTACTTTTAACGGTTCAATATACATTTTCTTTTATAAATATGTCAATATTCTTTTAGGACGTGCGATATTAAGTAGGCAACTGAACTCAAACAATTATTTTGCTGCTCGCTACAGAAGTAAAACTCGCACGGCTCTCATGTCAGGGGTACTTGAGTGAGTGACATGCATGCACAGCAAACCACCAATCACAATCATTCTTGATCAGATCACAATAATAATAATAATAATTATTATTATTATTATTATTATTACATTACATTACATTACATTGCATTTAGCTGACGCTTTTGTCCAAAGCGACTTACAATAAGTACATTCGACCAGGAAGACACAACCTTGAAGAAAACAGAATCATATAAGTATATCAGGTTTCATAGAGCCAAACATTTCAAGTGCTACTCAACTGGCTTTAGGTAATCCAGTCCTTTATTGGTATAAAAGTGCTTCGTTAATCGTTCTAACGCTCGAAGTGGAGTCGAAAGAGATGAGTTTTCAGTTTGCGCCGGAAGATGTGCAAGCTATCTGCCGTCCTGATGTCAATGGGGAGCTCATTCCACCATCTTGGAGCCAGGATAGCAAACCCACGTGTTTTCGCCGATGGGAACTTGGGTCCCCCTCGCAGCGAGGGCGCAACGAGTCGTTTGGCTGATGCAGAGCGTAGTGCACGCGCTGGGGTGTACGGTTTAACCATGTCCTGGATGTAGGAAGAGCCAGATCCATTCGCAGCACGGTAAGCAAGTACCAGTGTCTTGAAGTGGATTCTAGCAGTTACCGGAAGCCAGTGAAGGGAGCGGAGGAGCGGAGTGGTGTGGGAGAATTTAGGAAGGTTGAAAACCAGACGAGCCGCTGCATTCTGGATGAGCTGCAGAGGTCGGATGGCACATGCAGGTAGACCAGCCAGGAGGGAGTTGCAGTAGTCTAGGCGTGAGATGACGAGAGCCTGGACCAGAACCTGAGTCGCTTTCTGAGTCAGCTGGGGACGTATCTTCCTGATGTTGTAAAGCGTGTATCTGCAGCAGCGGGTTGTAGCAGCGATGTTTGCAGTGAAGGACAGGTTGTTATCTAGGGTCACACCCAGATTCCTTGCAGTCTGAGTCGGGGAAACAACTGAGGTGCCGATGTTGATTGTCAGGTCAAGAGTTGGACAATCTTTTCCCGGGAGGAAGAGCAGCTCAGTCTTGTCAAGGTTGAGCTTGAGGTGGTGAGCAGACATCCACTGAGAGATGTCAGCTAGACAAGCAGAGATGCGTGCGACGACCTGGGTCTCTGAGCGGGGAAAGGACAGAATTAATTGGGTGTCGTCAGCGTAGCAGTGGTAAGAAAAACCATGCGGGCTAATGACTGATCCGAGCGAGTTTGTGTACAAGGAGAAGAGGAGGGGACCAAGAACAGAGCCCTGAGGGACCCCCGTAGTTAATTGACAAGGGTCGGACTCAGACCCTCTCCAAGTCACCCTGTAGGTACGGTCTTTCAGGTATGAGGTGAGGAGGGAAAGTGCAGAGCCAGAAACTCCAAGTTTTTGGAGAGTGCGAAGGAGGATCTGATGATTCACCATGTCGAATGCAGCAGACAGGTCCAATAGGATGATGACAGAGGAGAGGGATGCAGTTTTGGCAGTGTGCAGTTCCTCCGTGACAGCAATGAGAGCAGTTTCTGTGGAGTGACCTGCCTTGAAACCAGACTGGTGCGGATCCAGAAGGTTGTTCTGATTGAGATAACAGGAGAGTTGTTTAAAGACATCGCGTTCAAGTGATTTAGACAGGAACGGGAGGAGAGAGACAGGCCTGTAGTTTATAACATCAGACGGGTTGAGAGTGGGTTTCTTTAGGAGAGGGTTTACTCTTGCCTCCTTGAGACTGTTTGGAAAGTGACCAGAAGTTAGAGAAGTGTTGATGAAATGGGTGAGAAACGGTAGAATATCAGGAGCGATAGTCTGAAGGAGGTTTGAAGGGATAGGGTCCAGAGGACAGGTGGTAGGGCGGGCAGAGGTAATGAGGGTAAGAACCTCACTTGGAGAGAGAGGGGAAAAGGAGGTAAGTGTGTTGGTGGAAGGAGGTCTGGTGACCCAGCGGTGAGTAAAGGTGAGTCAGAAAAAGAAGAGCGAATATCATCAGCCTTTTTTTCAAAGTGGGTAACAAAGTCGCTTGACAGAAGTGAGGAGGGGGGAGGAGCTTTTGGAGGGTCCAAGAGGGTGGAGAAGATGGAAAATAGTTTTTTAGGATTGGAATAGGAAGATTGGATCTTATCTTGAAAGAAAGTGCTTTTTGCCTGAGAGATCGAAGCAGAGAAAGAGGAGAGGAGAGCTTGATAGGTTAGGAGGTCGTCACGGTGTTTGGATTTCCACCATTTCCGCTCTGCTGCCCTAAGGACGGTTCTATTAGCACGCAGTGCATCATTTAGCCAGGGAGCCGGAGGGGACTGACGAGCCTGCCGAGATGTCAGAGGACAGAGCGAGTCCAGAGTGGATGTATTATTATTATTAGACAGAGAAGATGAGATGAGATGAGTTTTAAAAAGGGACTGGAATACTGTGAGGGAGTATATATTATTAACATTTTAAATATATTATTAACCAGCACCACTGTTACTTGTTTGCGTACCCCATTTATCTAGGCCGTTTTGTTTTATGTATATGTCACACTGTGGGACTGCGGGAAACGGTATCACGAGATTTCTGTATGTATAACACATGTAGTAATTTTCACAATAAAGCTGACTTTGACTTTGACTCAGAATAGCGGAGAAAAAGGCTCTGTCCCCACAGCTGCCTATAGTTTGGACTTGGGTGGGACAGGAGCCCGGCTGAGGTGGATCTGAGTACTCATCCCTGGGAACGCCTTGGGTGACTGAGGCTGTGGCAGAGGAGGCTGTGGCAGAGGGAGTGTTTGTGGAGGGAGATGAAGTGAGATCGGTCTTATCGGTCTGATTATCTTCATTTTTCACCTCAGAAAATATTTGATGTCGAAAAATGTTTAAAATTATAAATAGTGACAAATTAAATATTACATATTTCTCGTGTGAACCAACATGTAATACTAAATATCATACAAGTGATCTTTCTTAACCAAAATGACAAAAATGGCATTAAAACACATATTATTCTAATACGGGTCATTTTTGACCCACTTATGGAACAGTGTAGGGTCCAGTCACTCGGGCATCTAAGGGGGCACTGGTCAGAGGTATTGATGTAAAGCAGATCATCATAATCCAAAACATGTAAAAGCGATGCAGAGATCAAACGTTTCCTTGCCTGAAGCTGAATGTTAAACATTTTGTCCGTATAATGTTGTCTTAATACTGTTGTGTTTCTTATTGCCCTATTTTTTATTGTTTTATGACTTGTTTATGTTGCACCGTTGCAGGAGCCTGGGACGCCATATCAACACTGTAGCTGCAACACCACTTCTGATGATAAAGCCTTTGAATCCTGGGGGGTATACTACGAAGCAGGATTTTCGCTTAGCGGCTAAATTCAGGGAAAACTCCGGTTTCCGGTTCTACGAAGCTGGTTCTCTTTTTAGCAGGCTAGATCTCGTAACTTGTGCTGAGCGGCTAACCTGGTCGGGACCAGGTTAGGTTGCAGGCTAAGAGCTCAACTCAGTGAAAGCACCGCCTGCTGACCAATCAGAGCTCAGTGTGCGGAGTTTAAAGCGATCAAAGAGGCTTCTCAATACTCAAATTTCCCCTCCTCGACTCCCCTCCTCGGTTCCCCTCCTCGAGACTTAGACCCGCCCACAGGAGATGCGAGCGGAGGACCGAGGAGGGGAACCGAGGAGAGAGGAGGGGAAGCAGCAGGCGTTTAAAGAAATGAGAACTCCTCTCCTCTGAGCGGTCATTTTAAAGAGACGTCCGTTCATTATTACGTGGCAACAGCTGCATCAGCTGTCGAGTGTTTTGTCATAGCGCTGTATCTCTGTTAGATCAGCTGAACATTGTTCCCCCACATATTTACTTTGAATTCATTGAGAGTGCGGTATAATGAGACAATAACAGGCTACAGATGCGGACACACACACACAAATATATTTATATAAATATATACAATTTAAAGTATGAGAGCACTCTCATAATAACGTAACACAATCAGAGACTGGATATATCCCCCCCTCTCTCTCTCTGGTCGCTGAAATGGGGAATTGAAATTACGGGCCAAAAGTTGTATTTACAAGTATTAACTTGTAATAATAATAAGCCACTTACAATTCACCCTGAGATCAGGGAGCAGATATAAGATGGAAGTTTCCCTAACATACAAAGCCATGTTAGGGAAACTTCCATCATACATCTGCTCCCTGATCTCACGGAGAATTGTAAGTGGCTACTGCCTGAGATCGCATGCTGTGGTTTTATTAAATGTGCCAACTGCTAGGACTGTCTTAGGGAAGACAGCTTTTAGATGCGCAGCTCCTCTGTCTTGGAATAGTCTGCAATTGAAATGGAAACTGAACAATCTGGTGCCACTAAATGTTTTTAAAGCTCGGTTGGATGCTACTCAATCGGAAGCTATTGGTACCTGTTTATGTGGATAATTATGTAAATGATGCTGTATGATGTCCTTTTGTTGTTCTATTTATGTTTTTATATTTCATGTGGAACTACTTGAGCAGGTCTCCCTTGAAAAAGAGATCAATGATCTCAATGGGATTTATCTGTATAAATAAAGATTTGAAATTAAATTAAATTAAAAGTAAGCAGGACATCAAACCAACTGAGACCCGTCTGTCCGCCGCATCTACGCACTGTACAACACACACCTACATACTGTACCACACACACACACCTACACACTGCCTACAACACACACTTACAGCTCCTAAAGCATAATCAGGCTACAGCCGTTGTGTATTTTATTATGTGACGCACTAAATGGTCTTAGAAAAATATCGACTCTTTGTACTACAGCAAATAAAGAGAGTAATGTAGGCCTGTTATACTGAGTGATATTATACACTGCTCTGCTTTCTGCACGGACCTCACAGCTGTTCTCACTGTAAACATCGCGACGCGATGAAAGCAGTTTCTAAAATAATATCCAGAGGATGCATGCAGAGCTGTCATTGGCTGAGATAAGTCCGACCGTGCGTCACGCCTCCACCGTTCCCGGAAATGCATCCACGGAGGAGCCGTGGAGGACCCATCAGTGTATCCTCGGTTATAGCTCCTCCAGAGAGCCTCCTCGACGCTCGATCCTCGGTCCTCGGTGTGCATTTAGAGAAATGAGACGTCCTTCAAAATGGCGTGCTGAAATTCATTTCCGGGTCACTACCGGAGGACCGAGGACCGAGGAGTCGAGGAGGGGACATTTGAGTATTGAGAAGCCTCTCAAGTCATATTACAGGAGAAAGGAAATACAGAAAAGCTGCCGTTGCAGGAAAGACGGCCGGCAAAAATCACCGACTGTGTGAACGTGAGCATGAATAGAATATCACCTCCATCTTCAGAGCAATCTGACTATTATAACATTAGCGTTAAGAAAGCTTACTGAAATATCTGCCACAACATAAGTAACCGGATCAGAGTAACATTAAGTACAGTCCGCGGCATATCACTTCATAATGTATCCAGTACTCGAGTTGAGGGGGGATGAGGGGGGATGGCATCCCCCCTGAAATAAAAACGGTCAAAATCATCCCCCTTCTAAAACTGCCATTCCCCCTTTCCATCCCTTATGTAATTTGATCAATGAACGTGGCACTGGTATTACTGCTATTTCAACATTCATTTTGCGCATTTTGAGTAAAATACTGTGGGCGAGGGAGCACGCACACATGCAATGACATGTTTACCAAGTCACTGACGCTATACTATGCGAGTGCCCTAGAGGGCGCCAGAGCGACATGATGCGCCTGTTTGATCGATGCCAGAAGCGCAGGTAACGGTCATCACAATGGCCAAGCGACCAGGAGGACAACGCGATCTGAGGGACTTCATATTTAAAAATACTAAAAATAACATTTCAGATAAGTCAAGAGTACTCACTACTTTAGTCACCAAAGGTGGAATCTATGGACATAAGCAGCAATAACAACTTAGTTTGGAGTTTAGCTTTGTTTTTCTCTCGTGTTAGCTAGCTGGTATAAGACTCAAAACTGTTGATGAAATGATACCACCAGCACCAGAAGAGCTGAAACCTCTCCTTCAAGCAGTGAACACTCTGGTCATCTCCACAGCTGAGTGTGAACGTGGGTTTAGTCAGATGAACATTTTAACCACAACTAGAAGCTTCCTGGAGGTAAAAAGCATGTCAGCCTTGCTTTTCATCAAGTGTGTTGGCCCTCCACTGAACAAGTTCAGACCAGAGGTATATGTCAAGACTTGGCTTCAAAGCCATTGCTTAGCTAACAATCCGAAAGCAAGAGATTAAGACCAAAAAGCATGATTATGAAAATCTTTGGAAACTTCTCTGAGATGGGGGAGAGTGGAGTAGGCAGACATTGACATCATTGGTCCTATTTTGTATTATCTGTATAATCTTTTAATATATTTTCATATTTTGTAAACAATTTCAATTTGCACTTAATGCCCTGTTAAAAAAGTAACATTGGGAATGTTAACATCAAATATTTGTATTTGAACTGCAATAAAATGATGACGGATCAATATTTTTCTAATTTTTTCCTCACATTTTTCATGAAGAATTTACATAATGATTTAATTAATTACGATACAAATGTAACCCTTTAGATACCAGTTTTGATCGTATACCAGTAACTGCTTTTTTGAAAAAATACACTAATTCAATATTCTAAAAACAATTTTGACTTTATTATTAGTATAATCAGTTGATCATCTGAATAATAAAGGAGGGACTGTTAACCTACAAGATTTGTACCATAGACTTCCATTATAACCACATTTTTGTATCCCCTCCCCCCCCTTTAAATTAAAGTGAAAACATTTTTTGCACTAATTGTCCTCTGCATTTGACCCTAAATGTTAGTGGTGCCATGGCAGCCCGGGGACCGACTCTAATTCTGAGGTGCCTTGGTCAAGAGCAATGACAGGAGTATCTGAACATCCATAACATGCATGTTGTTTTAGGAGTATAATAATTATCTTTATGCTGCTGGTCTCCCACCCTCTGTGGGTTATCAGCACAAATGATGTCCCCATATGATAAAATCCACCATCCCCCCTGATTTTATTTTACAACTTGAGTACTGAATGTATCATATATCTCCTGATCTGAGTCAGCTGAGCCGTATCTGGCCGTGCAACACTCACAGTGTCACAGACTGGATGCAGAAGTATTATTTTAAGCAACACATTAAGTTGAGGAAACACTCGAGTCAAATGTAATGAAAGTCAGATGGTGTCTTAGACGGGCAGTGATATCATAAACCTGTTAATGTACGCATTCAAACACTTGTTCTGTTCCCAGCTGTATTCACCTTGCAGGTGCAGCTCTGTGGCTTTGATCCTGGATCAAGTGTTTGAGTCATGGATGTTTAAAGTTTAACTTCTTCATATGTCTAATATTAAAGTTCACTTTTCATTCAGGAAGTATGACGCTGCACTGTCAGTGCGCTTCTCCATGTTTGTGATTGGTCGAATGCTCCAGATACCACCCCTTTCATGTGAACGCGCACCTAACTAGATAGGACACGGCTGGCTTGAGCGATCCACTTGATAACCCGCGTCGTAGTACAGTTTAGCGAGAGCGCGTATGTTTTGGATTAGGCCAACCGGCTAACTCAAACATATCCAGGTTAGGTTGAGCCAGCTTCGTAGTACAGGCCTCTGGTGTGTGTGTGTGTGTGTGTGTGTGTGTGTGTGTGTGTGTGTGTGTGTGTGTGTGTGTGTGTGTGTGTGTGTGTGTGTGTGTGTGTGTGTGTGTGTGTGTGTGTGTGTGTGTGTGTGTGTGTGTGTGTGTGTGTGTGTTGGGAGGATGGGAAAGCCTCCCTATCTCCGACCTCATCTATATTTCAGCTCGGCGGCGGTCCGTGAGGTCTTTCTCCCCGCTCCCCTCTGTTCGCTTTCTGCACTGAAGGTGGAGATGAGTGTTCCTCGGTACATAACATCGCCCCCCCACCCATCCCTCCCTATCACCCCCCCCCCCCCCCCCCCCCCCACCTCCATCCCTCCCTAACACCCCCCCCACCTCCCTCCCTCCCTATCACCCCCCCCCCCCCCCACCTCCATCCCTCCTGAGGCCCAGCAGCAGAATGAAGATGTTCTCAACATACCGAGTGTGTTCAGAAAAAGGGCGAAAGAAGCCTTACAGCAGGTTCAATATGAACATATATATTCCCCTTTGTGTGTGTCCTCCACTGAACCTCAAGCATGAATTAATAACCAGATTATAATGTGAACTACGTGCTTTACATTTCTGTCTTTATGCCTATTACCTCTGCAAAGAAAGGGGTTTGGTTTGTGTGTCTTTTGCAGGAATATAGAAAAATACGGGTCTTAATTTCATGACATTTGGTGGAAGGATGTATCTTTGGCCAATAATTAAATTGTGCAATTTTGGAGTCTGCAGGCATTTGGTATGACTTTGTATTAACAATGTGAAATAGGGCGTTTGCACTGCACTCAGGTGGTGTTAGCGTAATGGGTTTTTAACTGGGAGAATTCACATAAACACCCTCAGAAAGAACAGATACGCCTTGTTTAAACGCTTTGAGCAGGATTACAGGAACACTACGGGTCCGAATGTCATGACATTCGGTGGAAGGGTAAACCATTGGCCAAGGATTAACTCGTACCATTTTGGAGTGGATCTGAATCTTTGAGCAAATGTAGTTTTACTTTCTTTAACAATGCAACATAGGGCATTTGTGCTGCATTCAAGTGGTGTTAGAATAATTGGTTAAATGGGTTTCCAACTGAGAGAATTCACATAAACGCCTCATGAACTGATATTAACGCCTTGTTTAAACATTTCCTCTTTGTGCGTTGTCCTTGACCGAACCCTAAAACATTCAGAGTTAACCAGATTATATTGTGAAGCACATGTTTTACATTTACGGTCTTTATCTTGTTCGTTGTCATTTTGGTTTTTGAGTCTTCCTGCAGGATTAGGAAAAAAACTACCGCTCCGAATTTCTTTAAATTTGGTGAAAGGGTGAAGAATCAGCCATGGATGAACTCATACAATGTTGGAGTGGATCTGAATCTTTGGCAGATACATTTATTTGGTTTGACTTTCTTAAACGTTGCATTCAAGGGCATTTGTGTTACATTCAGGTGCTGTTAGAATAATTGGTTAAATGGGTTTTAACTGGGAGAAATGCCATGAACGCCTCCACACGAAGAGCAAAGAACGTGTTGTTTGAACGCTCTGATAACATACAGAGAGGGGGATACAAAATGACCAGGAGGTTAAATATGATTATCTATATTCCTCTTTGTACCTTGTCCTCGACAGAACCTGAAACATTAATAATGAACCAGATTATAATGTGAAATATCTGCTTTACCTAACTGTCTTTATCTGTATTACTTCTGCACAGGAGGTTGTGTTTGTTAGCTGTCTTTGTGTGTCTGCAGGAATACAGGAAAAACACTGCTCCGATTTTCATGACATGTGGTGGAAGTGTAAAGAATTGGCAAAGGATGAACTCGTAACATTTTGGAGTGGATCTGAATCTTTGGGCAGATACAAACATTTGGTTTCACCTTCTTTAACAATGTGAAATAGGGCATTTGTGATGCATTCATGTGGCGCCTGAACAATTGGAAAACTTCCCGCCTATCGTAGCTCCCGAATCATCCCGAAAGTCCTCTTTCAACAGATATAAATCCAATCCACTTTATTTCAAAAGCACATTTTAAAAACAGAGGGTTTTCCAAAGCGCTTCACAGCAAACATAACATTATAATAAAATATAATATTACAATAATAGAGAAAAGGCACACATAAGAATGAATACAAGGCACACATAGGGCAGACAATAAAAGCATACAAATCGATAAAACAGCTCAAACTGACAGCGAGGGAAAAGAGGTGGGTCTTCAGACGGGACTTACAAGTTTGGAGGGTGGGCGACAATTTGACATGAGAGGGGGGGGGGCAGGTCGTTCCAGAGCCTGGGGGCTACCGCGGAGAAGGCTCGGTCTCCCCTGGTCTTTCTCTTGGTTTGAGGGACTACCAGCTGATCAGCCGACCTCAAAGCCCTTGAGGGGGTGTACACCTGTAGGAGGTCGGAGATGTACTGAGGGAGGGGCCAGCCCATTGAGCGAGTTAAAAACAAACAATACAATCTTAAAATGAACTGGACAGTGTACTGAGAAAAATTAAAGGGGACCTATCATGCAAATGCACTTTTTGATGTATTTTATACATAAACATGTCTCCCCGGTGTGTCGGGGAACTGACGCAGCGTCAGAACATATAAACCTCTCTCTTTTCCTCCGCACCTTTGAGCTCCATAATGTTTCAGAAAAATTATTGATAATAAATGAAATGGCGTTTCATCAGTATTTAGTTTAGACAATAGCTGCCGGTCCCGCATGAGCTCAGACCCCTCCTCTTTTATCAAAGGGCTGTTCTGTTCTGTGTATTTCAGGAAAAATAAATAATTTGAATAAAATAAATTAAATACAATTTACAATAATTCAGCATTCGGAGATTTTCAGGAAAAACAATAACAAATTTAAATATAATGAATACATAAAAAAAACGTTTTAAACTTATGGTCATATCCCAATTATTTGTTATCAAGTGGCACTCCTCCTCCTCCTCCTCCTCCTCCTCCTCCTCCTCCTCCTCCTCCTCCTCCTCCTCCTCCTCCTCCTCCTCCTCCTCCTCCTCCTCCTCCTCCTCCTCCTCCTCCTCCTCCTCCTCCTCCTCCTCCTCCTCCTCCTCCGTGCTGTCTGACCTGAAGAATAATGTATTTTATTTGTCAGCTCTGTTCCTGTCGTACCGGCATGTATCCGTCACCAGAGGGCGCCACTGACCGGCTGCGGCTCATCAGAGACATTCTCTCCAGGAGGTCAAGTTTCAAACCCTCAGAGAAGCCCAGAGAGGGGAGAGAGGGGAGAGAGGGGAGAGAGGGGAGAGAGGGGAGAGAGGGGAGAGAGGGGGAGGAGCAGGAGGAAGGAGGAGACAGCAGGAGTTCTTCTGTCTCCTCTTCCTCTACCAGGTGCATCTTTTTATAACCAGAGCACACCTGAATGCTCCCACCTCCAAACATCTTGTGGAAATCAACTCTCTCCTCCTCCTCTCTCTCTCTCTCCTCCTCCTCCTCCTCTCTCTCCTCCTCCCTCTCTCTCTCCTCCTCCTTCACCTCCTCCCTCTGTGCTTTATCCTTCCTCTCCTCCTCCCTCCCTTCCTCCCTCTCCTCCTCCACAGTGATGCTCTCCTCCTCCATGCTCTCCTGACTCACCTCCTCCATGCTCTCCTGACTCACCTCCTCCATGCTCTCCTGTCTCCTGTCCTCTCCCCCACTACCAACACCTGAATCTAAGCTCTGCAGCCTCCCTCTCTCCCCCTTTAACTCCTCCACCCTCTCATAGTCTGAAACCAGCAGCATGGCTTCACTCCCTTTAGAGAACAACTGATGGATTTCCTCCTCCTCCTTCTTCCCTCTGTCTTCATCCGTTTCCTTTTCACTTCTTTGACCTCCCACCGGCCCGTAAGGAGCGTCGGAGACGCATTGAGGGAGGTTCCCTGCTGTGAGGGAGGACATGTGAGGAGGAGGAGGAGGAGGAGGAGGAGTTTGGGGGAGGAGATGGGAGTAATTGGGGTTGGAGAAGTCTGAACTGGTGGATTCGTGGGTCATTTCGCTTCTGATTTTGTGCAGCAGCGCCTCCTCCTGGCTGCACGGCAACACTGCGTCCACACAGGAGGAGATCTCCACCGAGTCCAGCTCCCCCGAAGCGATGAGGAAGTGAGGACTCGACCGACTCTGCAGGAGAAGAGGAGGTTAAAGGACATGTTGCTAATATCACACTGTACATGTTACATTTCAATATTCCAGTGACGGCATAGAGACTATTGGGCACTGTTTCTATTACATTCTATTTGATCTACCTGTAATATTTCATCTGTTTTTTTGCGTTGGAGGAGGAGCCTGTGACCTCAGGTTGTCGTTGATATATCTAAACTGTAAAATAAAAAAGCCTTGAAACGTGAAACATTTATATCCAATCTAATATTTAATATTCCATTCCTCACATACTTATGTATATATAATGTCCTGTTTTATATTGTGTCACTGTACATTTGTAATTCAACATGTACTGTATATTTTCTTATATGTTTTGCTAATGCTATTGAGATGTTGACATTTTGGAAGGTTTATTCTATTGTACAATGCCATGTCTTTTTATGCTGCTGCAACACAAACATTACCCAACTTGGGATCAATAAAGTACTTCTTATCTCATTTTAAATATTCATTGGATTATAACGGCTGTAAAGATGCATAAAGCCAGAGGTGGAAGAAGTACAAGATACGTCCATCCTAATTCTTACTTAAGTGAAAGTAAAAAAGTGTTCAAGATATATTTAAATATACTTAAAGTGTTAAAAGTACCCGTTAAGGTTCTAAATCTATATGAAAACAGTGATGGAAGAACTCACATATTCAGATAAGTAAAAGTAGCAAGAGTAAACTGTAAAAATATGCCTCCATTGGACTCCTTTGTTTACTTGTGGGACATAGTGACATCACTATGGAACTATTGCGCTGCTAATGGCTAGCGCTCCAACACAAGGGGCGGGACATCTCTAAGCGGTTGACCAATTATTATGACTATTGATGCATCAATGTGTTCATCACAGCTGAAATCTAGAGCTATCTTTAATGACTTTAGATATCTGATCCTATAATACATGTTTATTTATTAGTGGATTCATAGTTTTTATTAGAAAGTAATCTGAATCCGTAAAAGCTGTCAGATAAATGTAGTGGAGGTACTGTATAATACTTTAAACCAAATTGATGCAACACCTGTTATAATAAACGTTCCCTTTTCACCTCCCTTTCTTTATGCTTCTTTCATTGCAAAGCTGCATCACAAAAGGACGGACTAATGTTAGCGTTAGTCTGTACATAATAACACACTCCAGATGTCCAATATCGACGGTCAAAACTATGCAAATGTCACGGTTGAACAAATGTCTGGGTTTTAAAAAAACTTAAAAGGAGAGCCAGAGAAGATATTTGTATTATCTCTACTATCGTTAAACAAAAAATCCAACAGAAAACACAAGTCTCGAAATCCACAAATCAATTATATATTTATAACAAAGTGTGTCTCTCTTCTCAGCTTTTAGTTGATTGTGTTTTCATATATCGTTGTTTTTGGTCAGCCCCAAGCCTGTTGTTCAGGTCTCAGGCTCGAAAATGACATTCCCAGAACAAATGACCATATCTTCTAAAAGGGTTAAATGAATAATCTTTTTCTCAAAGTAATGATAAACCTGTGAGTTGGATGTAGAACAGTCAGAATCAATATAGATGTTTTCTATTTTAAAGACAATTCTGATTGAACATGGTCAAAAACTGTAAATTATAGTGTCCGTCCAAAAAATATGTTGTACTTATAGTGAAAACTAACCTTGAATGATGGGTTAGTAGACTAAAAGCTTTAGGAATCCAAAGTACAACATATAATAAGTACCCTGTATCAAGATTGATGCAAAACAAGTGATATTTGACCTTTTTAGAGAGATTTAGCAAGAAAAACCTCTTCTGGGGCCATTTGGGTGGATTTTCCTTATCTCTTGTTCAATTTTGACATGTGACATCTCTTTCTGACCGTTAGAGCCAATAGAATCGAAGGGAAATCGTCCCGCACACACTCATGTTAAAAAAGAGGCGTCTTTGCGCATTCAATCTTGCTACAGAGCGTAGGAATATCCCTGCTCTGTTGTTTGAGAACGGAATTGCAGTTTTATTGCTTATAGATTATCAGAACATTTCAAAGGGGACACAGCCACATTGGATATTAACCTATGGATTAACTACAGTATCGTTGTTATCGTTTTAATGCCATTGAAGACCAGTTTTGACCAGACAAAACCAAGGTAAGCCATGTTAGCGTTGTAGGCTACCTAGCGCCATATATTTTGATGTACTTTTTTGTTGATAACGTCGCGAGTTTGTATCCTTCAGTGTTGAGGTGGGCACCGTTAGATTCTGTGTCTTTACGATCATAAACGATGTGTTGGATGTGCAGCTAGGATAAGTAATAAGGGAGCTAAGAGTGATTATCGGTGCAGTAATAGGCATTGTGTGTTTTTTCCCGTTATATGGATATAACATATTCATAGTTTATTAAATATTACGGTTCTTTAGACGTTGTTTCCTGCAAATAACGCGATTTCGGTCCCGGAACCGGGTCCGTGGGGCCTAAGAGGTTAAAAGAAAAGCATATTTAAGCTCACCTCGAACTTTAGATCCTTCAGGAAGGATTTCTCTGGGTTGGGAATAGGCGGACCTTTGATTATCTTCACGATGTAAACCCTATAAAACACAAAGACATGAGCAAGGTTAGAACAAATATATCTTATTGCTCTTGAACAACATTTAGTTAAGGTCTTGTAAAAGTACTGTGTTGTTGCTTACCAGGTGGTTTTGTCAGTCTTAAATCGTACGATAACCAGAAACACTGCAATCGCAGCTGCAACGGCAAAAAGGCCCGAAACACGCCAAGCAAGATCTGACAAACACAGGACAGAGAATATACCGTTAGCATATCAAGGTTTATTTGGCTTTGCTTGATCTTGATTCACATTACCTCTATAGCTGTTCAATCAAACTATAACATGTTTCCATGTGATATGTTATAAAAACAAACAACAAAAAATGATTAACATAGAAAATGTTTTTTTGTCCGACTTGTTTCCTTAATTCTCAGGAATTCAAATACAGGAAGAGAACATACCACACTCTTTTTCTAATGATCATTAATTAGCATAACAAATAGGAATACAAATCCCACAAATTAGTATCTAAAATCTTTACATTGACCTTCATAAACAAAATCAATCTATGTTGATATTTGGCCGTCTTTACCTGATGGTGGTTGGGGTACCCATGATGCAGTGGGGCTCCAGCCACTCCAGGTAGAGCTTTGGTCTGTCTCTTCGGACTTCACTCGAACGCGTGCCTCGTACCTCTTGCCTCGAATCAGCCAATCATCGTCAAGCTCTACAGCGGACCCTGATTCTTCCCACTCCCATGAATAAGTATTTGTGTTTTTCTGCACAGACGGATCCTGACGGAGAATAAATGAGTGGATGTTGAGTAAGCTGATGTTCATGTAGTGTTTCTTGATATCCTACAACATGTGTGCAAGTTATTAAACAATCTAAAGAACTGTCCAGAACTAAAGGCTGTGACTCATGTGTCGATTGCTGTGTTTTGGCCAAAAAGTCGCACATGAAAAACGACAACCAACAGCCATGTCACGTATGTTCTGCAACTGACTAAATAACTCTTCTAACCAGCAGGCAGTGCTAGTCTGAGTTTCAAACATAAACATACGTAAGGTTAGTTGTATAGTAAACTGCTCAACATGGCTGGTGTGCTTTTCTACAATGGAACGAGAATGAGAAGACACTTAGCTGCTAACGGGCTAGTTAGCTAGCTAGTTTGCTTATTCCTTCATGTTTTATCCTACACTGGTTACAGGAAATGAGCAAAACAGCGGGGAGCCGACCAGCGGTAGCTCTGGGTTCAACTATCATTTTCTAGTGAGGCGGCGAGTGTTAGCTAGCTAATTATTGTCTCATTTGTTGGCTGATACATTTTAATTTCACCAAACTCAGCGGTAGCACCACTGACTACTAGTTCACCAGAACTAGTTTAGTTTATTCAAACAAATGCAAATACACAATAATGTTTTTTGGGTTTGACGCATGTTCACAATAGAAATAAAACAGACCTTAGTTCACTTAAAGCTATCTGAGACTTGGATCCCACCAAGGGGTTAAACCAGGGTTCAACCAGACTATCAAGGCTGGTGTGAACGCGAAATGATGCCTACAAAATGACACAATTATTCATGCGTTAAAATACTAACGCAGTAACAACATATATACACACACTCCATGACTGCTTCTCTTGTTTCCACTGCAACTGGCACTTGTACAGTGTGATTTGTTCTCTCTTTTTAACTTGGGGGTGCCAGGAAATGGTGGTGAAGTTGATATGAGGTCGTTGTGGAGGGTTCAGCTTTACTGCAGAATCAAACACACACAGAGTTTGTTTTAGGTCATCATGAATAGCTCACAGATTGAATCACATAAGGTGATATATTCATTGTACTCACTGTGATGCTCTGGCTGGAAGCACATGGTCACATTGGCCGGCCCAGGATTACAGGTCAGATTCATGGAGAAGATATCGGCAGGTTGAAACTAAGAAAATGTAAAAAAATTATTAAAAAAAAACATTCATAGGACAACAATACAACATGAAATGAGAGTAGCTGTTGGTAGGTGATGTTTTTATAAAGGTGAGAATGTGATTAAAATATCAAGCTAATAGTCTTTAATGTAGATATTATTGCTGTATCGAGAGTTGGATAAGAAGATGAATACAACTCTTATATTTGTACTCTAAATGTTATTTAACAACTAGTAGCCTTCGCCTAGTTAGCTTAGCTTAGCACAAATACTGAGAATAGCTATCTGCCTGCCCCTTAAATGTCACCAATAAAGATTAGGAAACATAAAAACAAATTGTTACAGGGTTTGGTTGAAAGCTCTTTTTGGCTAGCTGACCGTCGCTAAGGATAGCAGACCGTTGCTAAGGATGGCACACTGTTGCTAGGGATAGCAGACCGTCGCTAAGGATAGCAGACCGTTGCTAAGGATGGCACACTGTTGCTAAGCATAGCAGACCGTTACTAAGGGATAGGAGCCTGTTACTAAGGATGGCACACTGTTGCTAAGCAAAGTAGACGGTTACTAAGGATAGCAGACCGTTACTAAGGAGATAGGAGATAGCATGGTTTTTCGTCATCTCACGCCTAGACTACTGCAACTCCCTCCTGGCTGGTCTACCTGCATGTGCCATCCGACCTCTGCAGCTCATCCAGAATGCAGCGGCTCGTCTGGTCTTCAACCTTCCTAAATTCTCCCACACCACTCCGCTCCTCCGCTCCCTTCACTGGCTTCCGGTAACTGTTAGAATCCACTTCAAGACACTGGTACTTGCTTACCATGCTGCGAATGGATCTGGCCCTTCCTACATCCAGGACATGGTTAAACCGTACACCCCAGCACGTGCACTACGCTCTGCATCGGCCAAACAGCTCGCTACACCCGCACTGCGAGGGGGACCCAAGTTCCCATCAGCAAAAACACGTGGGTTTGCTATCCTGGCTCCAAGATGGTGGAATGAGCTCCCCATTGAAATCAGGACAGCAGAAAGCTTACACACCTTCCGGCTCAGACTCGTTTAATTAGCGAGATAATCAGACTCACGTTTTCGTCTCTAAAGAACTCCATGTTACAGGTCATTTGCGTTGATCTGCCTTCAACAGGTTTGAGCGTGCATGAAGCGTTGGAAGATTTCCTTCTAGGCCTGTAAAAAAAACATGTTCCATTTCATTTTGACTTCAGACACATAATATTTGATATCAAAGTAATTGTTTATCTGCATGTATGTAAATTATACATCTGTCCTTACTTGTCTTTATTTAAGGCATCTATCGTGCACTCACTGCCTGAATGATCATACGCGCTGTTCCACACACACGTGATTGTACGGTTGTAGTCAGAGGAGCAGGTGATATCTGTGGGAAGTGAAGGAGAGAAATGAAAGAGGACAGATTATGTTTATTTTCAGTACGTAGTGTCTCTACTTTAAAGAGTCCTCTCCTGCTGATGTTCAGGTGTATATCAGTATGTAGTGTCTCTACTTTAAAGAGTCTTCTCCTGCTGATGTTCAGGTGTATATCAGTATGTAGTGTCTCTACTTTAAAGAGTCCTCTCCTGCTGATGTTCAGGTGTATATCAGTATGTAGTGTCTCTACTTTAAAGAGTCCTCTCCTGCTGATGTTCAGGTGTATATCAGTATGTAGTGTCTCTACTTTAAAGAGTCCTCTCCTGCTGATGTTCAGGTGTATATCAGTATGTAGTGTCTCTACTTTAAAGAGTCCTCTCCTGCTGATGTTCAGGTGTATATCAGTATGTAGTGTCTCTACTTTAAAGAGTCCTCTCCTGCTGATGTTCAGGTGGATATCAGTATGTAGTGTCTCTACTTTATATGTCTTTTCCCTGTGCTTGTTTTCCTGTTGCAACGGGTCAGATTCTGGTACCATCTACTAGTGCAGGTTATCTGGCCTTCCAGCTGGAAATAGATTCTGTTAAATGCTATAACTCTATATTAAATAACATAATTTGGCTTAAGCTTGTATATTTAAGTATGGCATTTCCACCACAATTAGATTGTTAAGTTACTCTACAAAACCAAAATAACTTACTGTTGCCGGGTCACTCGAACAACGTCCCTCTCCATGGCAGACCTGCATCAGAGCGAGAAGCAGGACCAGCAGACGGGGTTTCTGACTCCTCTCCATTTATGATGTCCAGCGTTTGAAGTGTTTTGACGAAGGCTCCTTTCACTGCTTCCTCTTTCTTCTCATCCTGCATACACAGAGAACAGGTTGCTTCTTTATTTGTGTGGTGGGTGTCAAGGCGTTCTTTTTCTGCACATCCAATAACACCCTGACCACATCGAGAAGCACTGACAGGTGATCGAGAACAACAAACAGACATAGAAATGTTTGACATCCTGCCGCAGGTGGTGTGATCTGGTTCTACTCACACACTCCAACACCTGCTTGAAGTGAGACAAATACCCAGTGATAATGAGATGTGGAATCATCTGTTTCAAGGCCAGAATTAGCTCCAGGTTGAATTTGAATTGACTTTAATTGAACACATAATTCACCTAGAGATCCAGGGTCCTGCTCAAAGGCACGTAGGCTGGTTTGACTTCTGAACACACCAAATATCACTGATACTTGCCAGGTAAGAAGTAAAGGGTTGTTGCATTTTGGGAGGTGTGACACTAGATAGGCAATGCTTAAAGTCGAGTCACATTCTTTTAAACTAATTATGTATTGAATTGACTTATTGTCCGTATTCTGTATTTGCTTTGTTCAAATACAAATCTACTTTTTAACATACACTATACATACATAAAAAACAAAGAAACGTATCGTCTGCCTTAAATCTGACATTTTAATAGTTTTGTTAAATAAAATACCCTCTCTTCCTAAACTAACCGTGTCCCACCTCCTCTCTTCCTAAACTAACCGTGTCCCACCTCCTCTCTTCCTAAACTAACCGTGTCCCACCTCCTCTCTTCCTAAACTAACTGTGTCCCACACCCTCTCTTCCTAAACTAACCGTGTCCCACCCTCCTCTCTTCCTAAACTAACTGTGTCCCACCTCCTCTCTTCCTAAACTAACCGTGTCCCACACCCTCTCTTCCTAAACTAACTGTGTCCCACACCCTCTCTTCCTAAACTAACTGTGTCCCACACCCTCTCTTCCTAACTAACCGTGTCCCACACCTCTCTTCCTAAACTAACCGTGTACCACCTCCTCTCTCTCTTCCTAAACTAACCGTGTCCCACCTCCTCATCTTCCTAAACTAACCGTGTCCCACACCCTCTCTTCCTAAACTAACTGTGTCCCACATCCTCTCTTCCTAAACTAACCGTGTCCCACCCCTCTCTTCCTAAACTAACCGTGTCCCACCTCCTCTCTTCCTAAACTAACCGTGTCCCAACCTCCTCTCTTCCTAAACTAACTGTGTCCCACACCCTCTCTTCCTAAACTAACCGTGTCCAACCTCCTCTCTTCCTAACTAACTGTGTCCACCTCCTCTCTTCCTAAACTAACCGTGTCCCACACCCTCTCTTCCTAAACTAAACTGTGTCCCACACCCTCTCTTCCTAAACTAACTGTGTCCCACACCCTCTCTCTCCTAAACTAACCGTGTCCCACACCCTCTTCCTAAACTAACCGTGTCCCACCTCCTCTCTTCCTAAACTAACCGTCCCACCTCTCTCTTCCTAAACTAACCGTGTCCCACCTCCCTCTTCCTAAACTAACCGTGTCCCACATCCTCTCTTCCTAAACTAACTTGTCCCACCTCCTCTCTTTCCTAAACTAACCGTGTCCCACCTCTCTCTCCTAAACTAACGTGTCCCACCTCTCTCTTCCTAAACTAACGTGTCCCACACCCTCTCTTCCTAAACTAACGTGTCCCACCTCCTCTCTTCCTAAACTAACCGTGTCCCACTCCCTCTTCCTAAACTAACTGTGTCCCACCTCCTCTCTTCCTAAACTAACCGTGTCCCACATCCTCTTCCTAAACTAACTGTGTCCCACCTCCTCTTTCCTAAACTAACCGTGTCCACACCCTCTCTCCTAAACTAACCGTGTCCCACATCCTCTCTTCCTAAACTAACCGTGTCCCCCTCCTCTCTTCCTAAACTAACCGTGTCCCACCTCCTCTCTTCCTAAACTAACCGTGTCCCACCTCCTCTCTTCCTAAACTAACCGTGTCCCACACCCTCTCTTCCTAAACTAACCGTGTCCCACATCCTCTCTTCCTAAACTAACTGTGTCCCACACCCTCTCTTCCTAAACTAACCGTGTCCCACATCCTCTCTTCCTAAACTAACCGTGTCCCACCTCCTCTCTTCCTAAACTAACCGTGTCCCACCTCCTCTCTTCCTAAACTAACTGTGTCCCACCTCCTCTCTTCCTAAACTAACCGTATCCCACACCTCTCTTCCTAAACTAACCGTGTCCCACTCTCTCTTCCTAAACTAACTGTGTCCCACCCCTCTCTTCCTAAACTAACCGTGTCCCACACCCTCTTCCTAAACTAACTGTGTCCCACCTCTCTCAAACTAACCGTGTCCCACATCCTCTCTTCCTAAACTAACTTGTCCCACACCCTCTCTTCCTAAACTAACCGTGTCCCACACCCTCTCTTCCTAAACTAACCGTGTCCCACACCCTCTCTTCCTTAAACTAACGTGTCCACATCCTCTCTTCCAAACTAACCTGTGTCCACCTCTCTCGTTCCTAAAACTAACGTGTCCCACCTCCTCTCTTCCTAAACTAACCGTGTCCCACCTCCTCTCTCTTCCTAAACTAACCGTGTCCCACACCTCTCTTCCTAAACTAACCGGTGTCCCACCTCCTCTCTTCCTAAACTAACCGTGTCCCACATCCTCTCTTCCTAACTAACGTGTCCCACCCCTCTCTTCCTAAACTAACCGTGTCCCACACCCTCTCTTCCTAAACTAACCGTGTCCCACCTCCTCTCTTCCTAAACTAACCGTGTCCCACATCCTCTCTTCCTAAACTAACCGTGTCCCACCCCCTCTCTTCCTAAACTAACTAACCGTGTCCCACACCCTCTCTTCCTCAAACTGACCGTGTCCCACACCCTCTCTTCCTAAACTAACCGTGTCCCACCTCCTCTCTTCCTAAACTAACCGTGTCCCACATCCTCTCTTCCTAACTACCGTGTCCCACACCCTCTCTTCCTAAACTAACCGTGTCCACCTCCTCTCTTCCTAAACTAACCGTGGTCCCACATCCTCTCTTCCTAAACTAACCGTGTCCCACATCCTCTCTTCCTAACTAACCGTGTCCCACCCCTCTCTTACTAAACTAACCGTGTCCCACACTCTCTCTTCCTAACCTAACCTGTGTCCCACATCCCTCTTCCTAAACTAACCGTGTCCCCACCTCCTCTCTTCCTAACACTAACCGTGTCCCACCTCCTCTCTTCCTAACTATAACCGTGTCCCCACCTCCTCTCTTCCTAAACTAACCGTGTCCCACCATCCTCTCTTCCTAAACTACCGTGTCCCACCTCTCTCTTCCTAAACTAAACCGTGTCCCACACCTCTCGTCCTAAACTAACGTGTCCCCACCCTCTCTCTTCCTAAACTAACTGTGTCCCCACCTCCTCTCTTCCTAAACTAACCGTGTCCCAACTCCTCTCTTCCTAAACTAATCCGTGTCCCACCGCCTCTCTTCCTAAACTAACCGTTCCCACACCACGTGCTCTTCCAAAACTAAGCTGTCCCACCTCCTCTCTTAAAAACAACCGTGTCCCACACCTCTCTTTCCTAAACTAACCGTTCCCACCTCCTCCTTCCTAAATAACCGTGTCCACTCCTACCTCTTTAACCTTCCCTAAACTAACCTGTCCCACACCCTATCTTCTAAACTAACCGGTCCCACCCCACTCCTCTCTTCCTAAAAAACTAACCGTGTCCCACACCTCTCTTCCTAATCTAACCGTGTCCCACCTCCTCTCTTCCGAACTAACCGTGTCCGCACCACAGCCTGCATGTTACACATTTTATTAATAAAATCTCATCAAAAAGTCTTACTTGTTGCTGCAGTCTGTTTACAGCTTCTGGTTCACTCCATTGACGGCTCTGTGGACAGACACCACACTCATAAGGTTTTTCTCTCCGTGTAAATGAAAAGAAGTGTTGAAACAGAAGATGACATCATGCCCTTCAAAGGTCACTACTTAGAAATGAATCAATCAATCTACGACGATATCTCGGGGCGCTGCAGTGTGTCAGACCTCATCTTCCTCTTTTCTGTGGTTACCTTCAGCTTCTCTTGTATTTTACTTAGAGAGAAAATTAAGGATATTTTCTAACTGTTTTTAGAAGCTGGTTTAATAGGAAGAGGAAATGACCTCAAAGAGACTCATTACAACAAAACACAACGGAAACTTTTAAAAGATACACATCCTGACAGCTG